TTAGCATTTTGCAGCACAGAACACCCAAACATGGCCTCATGGGCTACAGGAAGCACTTTTGAGGGTGGCTCAGGACAAGAGATAGCTTTATTTTCTTTTTTTGTTTGTTTATTACAGTAACACAGTGTAGTCCCAAGGTAATCTGTCAAACAAGCCAGGCACATGATGGAAAAGAACCCATCCCATCCTACCTTTCCCACCCACACCCACATCTGGTTGTCATTGGCAGTTCAGGCTGGCCTTGAACTCACTGTGTAGCCTGAGCTGGCCTACAGCCATCAGCAATCCTTCTGCCTCAGCCTTCCTGGTGCAGGCATTTCAGGAGTGCAGACTATGCCAGATCTGTTTTTTTTTTTTTTTCTTCAGTATTTAGAATTGACCCCAAGGCCTTTGCATTGACTGACATCCCTAGCCTGCCCGCTGGCCTGCTTGCTTGCCTGCTAGCTCACTTGCGCTCTCTCTCGCTCTCTCGCTCTCTCGCTCTCTCGCTCTCTCGCTCTCTCGCTCTCTCTCTCTTCTTGTGGTACTGGGGATGGAACTTGGGACCTTACACTTGCCAGGCAGGCATTTATGTCACTGATCTATATCCCTAGTCCCTTATTTAAAAATTTTTGTAGGGGCTGGGGAGATGGCTCAGTAGAATAAGCACTTGCCTGGCAGGAGCAAGCACCTAAGTTTAATCCCTGATTCTGCCTAAAAAAATAAAAGAATAAATAAAATAAAAATTAAAAAAATCTTATTTATTTGGTACAGGATTTTGCTATGCAGCTCAGATTTGTAGTTACCCTCCTGTTTCAGCCTCCCCAGCACTGGGATTACAGGTTTGTGCCACCTGGCCTGGTTTTAGGGCCAGCATGGCGCTCCCAGGGTTCTGGATCTGATGTGGCATGCAGTTCTGGGGATCAAACTGGGGTCCTTGCACTTGCCAGGTAGACGCTTAGTCTACCGAGCTATCTCCCCAGCTATCATACTGTCTCTAATTGTCCATGCTGGGCCAGCACTTGCAATCCTCCTGCCTCAACCTCCCAGAGTGCTATAATCCACAGGTGCAGCCCTGGAGTGCCAGGCTCCCGACGTGGCTCAGGCCTGCCTATGTGTGTGTGTGTGTGTGTGTGTGTGTGTGTGTGTGTATTGTTCTGTTTCAGCTGAAGGAAGGTCTCGCTGTCCCCATGTCGTCCCAGGGGTCCAGTGAGTGATGCCGGAGGTCACCCAGTGTCCCATCTGTTCTATTCTGCCTTTGTCTCCCCGGCCGGCTCTCTGTCTCTTGATCTCCGTGGGTCCCCACCTCTCAGAGCTCCTCCCGCTCTGCCCCCCTAGACTGAAGTTATTTTCTCCTGCAGAGGAAGCTGGCGGTGTCTTTGTGGGTCCTTTTCATCTTGTGTCCTCAGGGCCGCCTCACAACCCCTAGGACTAATTAAGGTATTTTCCTAAACAAGCCTCGGTGTGGCTCTAAAATGAATTCTGATGCCAGCTGGTATATTAATTTTCTCTCCCCTATCATTTATAATACAGGACGAATGACACAGGCTGTGGCAAGCCAGTAAGGACATGAAAATGTAAAAAATGTTGCCTATCACAGCCAGGTGTGATGCCTGTAGTCCCAACTACTTGGGAGGCTGAGGAAGGAGGACAGAACGTTTGAGTCCAGCCTGGGCAATCGGGCAACTTAACAGTTTGGGTAGGCCCTGTCTCTAAAAAATAAAATTTTATTTATTTTTTATTTTTTTATTTTGTATTTAGGGTGTACAGGGTGTATAGGGTCTCACTGCATAGATCGGACTTGTAGTGATCCTCCTGTTTACAGCCTCCCAAATGCTGGGATCACAGGGGCACACCACCAGGTCCAGTCTAAATCGCTGTCTCAGCACGCCCCAGGGCAGGCCGGCACTGCAGGCCCAGGGATCGAACTCCTGGCACCTGCATCTGCCTAAGCAGGTGCTTCAATCGGGGTGTGCTGAGATGGTGTTTGAGACTGGGCCTGATGGCGCACGCCTGTAATCCCAACACTTGGGAGGCTGTAAACAGGAGGATCACTACAAGTCCAATATACATGGTGAGACCCTGAACACCCTGTAGACTGTAGACCCCTAAAAAAAAGAAAAAAGATGAAAAGAATTCTTTTTTTTTTTTTGTATTTTAGGAAAGGGTCTATAGGGTATTCAGAGTCTCACTACTAGATCAGATTCCTAGTGATCTTCCTGTTTACAGCCTCCCTAGAGCTGGGATTACAGGTGCCCACCACCACACCCTGTCTTAATCACTGTCCCAGCGTGCCAGGGGCGGAATCAGCACAGCAGGCCCGAGGATTTTTTTTTCAATTTATTTATTTGTGTGTGTGTGTGTGTGTGTGTGTGTGTGTGTGTCCAGCTCAGCCCACCAGGGGCGGGGCTGGCTGGCTTGTGGTGCTGGGGGATTGAACCGTGGTGCCTGTGCTTTGCTAAGCTTGTTCTAAGTAGGTGCTTTAGACCACTGAGCCATCTCTCCAGCCCAGGCCCGAGGACTGAACCCCTCCCTGGCTCCTATGCCTGCTTGCAGGCACTTTAATCCACTGAGCTATTTGGCCGACCTTAAGAATTCATAAAATTGACCTTAAAATCTATCTGAAAAAATTCAAACAGAACATAGAACAAAAGGAACAATAACATTTTTGAATATATCATTAATCATAAAGTGATAGCTTCCATCCATTAGTTTAACAAGTTCCACTCTAGCAAATTATCCTTTTTTAAAATCTCTGGTTGTATTTGGAAATTTATTCCTAGGACTTAAATTTTTAATTTCCATATTAATATTTGTTTTGTTAATAAATTAAAAGAAACACTGAAAAAAAAATCCACTGAGCTATTTGGCCAGCACTTAAAAAATAAAATTTTAAAAGGCTGGGGTGTGGGGCCGGGGCCGGGGAGATGGCTTAGTAGGATAAGCGCTTGACAGGCAAATGCCAGGATCTGAGTTCAATCCCCGGTTCCACAAAAATAAATAAATAAATAAATAAATAAATAAATAAATAAATAAATAAATAAAATAAAAGCCTGGGGTGTATTGTAGTTCAGTGTGGAGGCTTTGGGATCAAGCCTAAATACTTCAAAATCCTAAATGTTACATATCTCCAATATGGTTAATGATGATGATGATGATGATGATGATGATGATGATGATGATGATGCCCGGGCGTGGTGACAGTGATGCCCACCTGCAATCCTAGCACTCAGGAGGCTGAGCCAGGAGGATCACCCTGAGTTTGAGGCCAGCCTAAACTACATAGTGAGACCCTGTCACAAACAAACAACAAAAACCCCACAATAGTAATAGTGATACAGGAAGTGTCTCTGCCCATCTGAGGACATCGTTGGGGCAAGTCCTTGGATGCAGATGCTGCTAGATTCGGAGGGACTGAACATGGCCCAAAATATTGTGAACGTGCAGAAGGGTACCAGTTCCTATCCCCAGCAGCCCCATGATGCCATCACCCCTGTTACACCCTGCTGGAGAGCCAAACAGGGTGATTGCTCTCATTTCTATTAATGTGATGAGGGGTGAAAATGTATTAAGTGTGTTACTCAACCATGAACTAAATCAAAGATTAAAACCTACATGTGGCGTGCCAGGTGAACAGAAGTGAATCTGTGTTTTCTAAACTGAGCTGGGACATCAAAATCGCCTTGGAGTGGGGACAGGGACTCCCATCTATGCAAGGCCTTAATTAGACCATAAAGGGACCATGGCAGGAACCTGGGCATCACCTGACCTTGTTAACACTGAGCTACACTGCCTGCCTGCACAGGGCTGTGTACCTACATGAGTTCAACAGATGTGCAATTATGGCTCTGTGGACGTCACCAGCCCTGACCTGGGAGCATAGTGCACAGGGGGGAGAGCTATTCCTTAGTGTTACCTGGCACTCCACCCAACAGCACCAAAAGCTAGAAGGGCCAATCAGAGCCAAGGACTGGCTTCTAGTGTGTTCTAAACCTCCCAGCCCTAGTAACCACCTAGTCCATCTCACCTGGAAAGAGGAGGGAAGCTCACTGCTGGCTACTCTGGAGGCTGAGGAAGGAGAATCACCATGAGTTTGCGGCTGACCTGGGCTGCATAGTGAGTACTTGTTTCAAAAAACAAAAACATAGGAGGACATCCAGGGCCATCAGTTACAATGCCTCCTTATCTGTAACCCTGTGACTTTTAGTTCCTGGAGACTTGCAGAACATGGAGATTGCCTTCAGAGGACTGACTCCTGTGGGTGTACCTCGACACTCTTCGAAGCTCCACATTTAGTCTCTCGCCACTGTCCCTTGTCACCAGTGTCACTGGTGGCAGCAGACCTTTCCCAGGCACAGGAGAAATGTGGGCATTTGGGGTCTCAGTGCTGCTATGTCCCATCCTGCCACTTAGCACCAGGACTGGTGGAGACCCTTAGGGGACCTGGAAGCTCACTTTGCACCCCCAGTTGTCACTTCTGGCCCTAATACCTCTCTCCCATGGGACATAGTAGGGCCACGTTCAAAGTCCTCTCCACAGCGGGTCCTTGGGTGTGGGACAAACAAAATGAGCTTCCTGCAAATCAGGTAGGTCTTGTCTCGAAATGAAAATTTTAAAAAGGGATCGGGATGTACCTCTAAGCAAACTGCTGGGTTCAGTCCCCAGTCCTGGGGATTAGCCTCATCATATACCCTGCAGTGAACAGCAAAGACAAGGGTGAACAGCTCGTGGGTGTGACAAGAAGACTAAGAGGGACATTGTGGGAAGGTCGACGCCCCAACCCTGGAGTGCTTCTGGAGCCCGACCCTGCTTTTTGCGCATGTGCGGGAAATTGAACATGGTGGAGGAGGCGTGGCTATCATGCGGCGGGGCGGGACACTGTACGTCTGGGGGCGTGGTATAAGGCGGGGCGAAGGCGCGCGTGTCTCATTGGATGACGGTAGGGGTGGAGTTTGGCGCTACCGCGAGGCTGGCCCCGCCCCCAGCCCACGGGGAGCGGAGCGTCGGCGGAGGCGGTGAGCGCGGGGGAGGGCGGCGGCGGCGGCGGCGGCGGCGGCGGCGGCGGCGGTTGGTTGTCGGGCGCTGTTTGGGCCGCCGCGGCCTTGTCGCTTGGGCTCTGGCGTCTCTCAGGGCAGGCCTGGGTTCTGGTGAGGCCGGTACGGATCGCCTCTTGGTTCCGCCGTGCAGGTTGGAGGCGGCGCGGGCCGCAGGGCCTGGGGGAGGGGCGGCTTCTGCCAGAGAATCCTCTTGGCGGGCGCCCGAGGCCTCCTGACCCTAATCTTATCTCTACCCGAACCCCTGTTTTCTGCAGTCCGACCCTCCCTGTATTTGCTGCCCAGATTCCGTCCCTGCGGCCTGATCCCCGTCCTTGTGGCCCGGTCCCTGTCCTTGTGGCCCGATCCCCGTCCTTGCACCTCTCGATCCCGGTCTTTGCAACCCCCAAGTTCCGCTCTTGCGCCCCGAACCTCCATCTCCGTGGCCTGAACCCCATCCTTGCTACACAAATCCCGTCTCTGCAGCCTGAACCCCCATCTGCCACTGTCTCAATTCCTCCACCTTTGCCTGAGCTACCTTTTTCGAATGCCCTCCTGCTTTGCATCCCCTTTTTGCTGCTGTGCACCCCTCTTCTGCAACTTATCCACCTCTTGCTGCTGTGAACCCCACCACACCCACACCCACCCCTTTCCATTTCTGCCCACAGCCTTGGGAATCTCTGTCACGAACATGGTACACAGTCTGCAGCTGTCCCTATCCTTTAAGGGACATGGCGGCTAAAAGCCCCGCTGTCGACCTCCCCAGATTTTGTGGGCAGTGGTCATTGTGAACCCCTACATGAGAGAAGGGTTGTAAGCTTTGATTGTTTAAAATGCTCCCTCTGACTCGGCAGGCGGGAGTGGGAGGGGTGAGGTGGGGCCGCGGGGGGGGGGGGGGGTTGCGGCAGGCCTTGAGCACGGAAATGCTCAAGGAGCTTTTAAAAACTAATCTGAAAAAGGAAAACAAACAAACAAAAAACTAATCTGGATGGAGTCTTGGGGAGGGAATTAGCTTTATTTTAAGGAAAAAAAAAAATTGCAGGCGCTTCCCCAGGTACTGAGGCCATGCTTTTGTCAGTTTCATTTTGGGCTCAGTCTGGGGTTGAGAAGCCAAAGCTCACCTCTGCCCTCGAGGGCTGCCTCGGCACTAAAATCACAGCAAACGTTTCCTAAACCACTGCGCACATTTTGTTGCAGGGCACATCAGCAGCAGACCTTGAAGCACTTTGTTTGTGCCAAATCATTACCACTTGCCACATGAGTCTAAATCATGACGGATGCCAAGTACGTCCTCTGCAGATGGGAAGAGCGATTATGGCCTGCAAAGGTGACAGCCATTATTCTGTAATTTCGGGAATTAGAAATGACTTTCTGGTGACAAGTAAAATCTCTATCAGGCTCTGAAATCTAGGAGTGGCTTGGGCGAAATAATTGAACCTGAACAGTTGGCTTCAGGATCTGTTGGCACCAATTCCCATTCCTCACTTAATGGGGTTTTGGTCTAGTGCTTAGGAGGTTCTACTTCTGGAAGCGTCTCCCCCCTCACACACACACTAAAAAAGATGGAGAAAAAAATAACAAGAGTCAGCTATAAAAAGACTTGTAAGGCTCTGACTCAAAGGAATTTCTGATAGTAAATAACAGAGGTGTTTGGGGGATGCCTTCCAGCAATTCCGGGAGGAAATGCTGGACTAAACAGCAAAAGGCTGGGTCCTGCACGGGTATCATCGCTACCCCTCCCCACCGTGCCTCAGTTTCCCTATCAGAATTAAAGAGGACTTGACCCGGTGTCCCTGAAATCCTGTGGTTGTCTGCCTCAAGAAATAGTTGTTGTGCTTGTATTCACCCGAGTTGCTTGTTTGTTTTGTTAATCATTTTGTCTTAGTAACAAGAATTATTTTATTGTTTTGTTTTTTAAAAGTAGGTTTTGGATGGACCTAAGACTTCAACAAACGATAAGGGACGAAAAGAATTCTTTCTAGACGTCCAAATACTGTCACTAGATGAAAAGTTAAGTGTTTTTGTTCTGTCCAGCATTTCTGGTTCTTACACTCCCCACCCCCCCATGAAGTCTTATTTTAAAAGCTTATTAACTCTCGAGTTAGTATTACTCATTTATGATATCACTCTGATATCCTTGTGAGACCCGAACTGATTTTATTTTATGTAAGTTTGGAAGTTGAAGAAATGGGTACAAGACTTAAGTGAATTGGGGGCCGGGGAGATCAGCTCAGTAGAATAAGTGCTTGTCTGGCAAGTGCAAGATCCTGAGTTCAATCCCCGGTACTGAAAAAAAAAAAAAAAAAAAGTGAATAGAAATTATATCCAGAGTGCACATAG